GGAAATTATTTTTTGAAAAACTAACCGCAACTTCAGCAAAAATAAAAAAGTTTTAGGGCTGCGATTCAAAAAATGTCCTAAACGCTCGACAACGCAATAAAGAAACCAACTTTCTAGGAATTGAAAAGGCGTCTTTTTCTTATGGTGTTTAGCAAAATAATTTTCTTTAACTGGCTGCAATTTCTTAAAAATTAAAAAACGTGGAGAGCTAATATTTAAAAATTGCCAAAACTTCGAAATTTTAAAAATAACTTTTTGCCACTCAAAAGGACCACTTTTCCTTATGAAACTCTGCAAAATTAAACCTTCAAACATAGCGGGTGTTCGGGCAATTAATTTTTGAATAACTGACAGCATCTTGAGTAAAACTGATGGAGTTCTATGGCTGCAATTCAAAAAGGTTTCTAATCTCTTGATCAAGCAATAAAAATTCAACTTTCTAGGCATCAAATTAACTTATCTTTCTTACAGACTTGTGTAGACGACAACTCTCCAATAAAGCGGTTGTTTTATGTTTTTATTTTTGAAGAACTGATTGCATTTTCTTAAAAATGAAAAAGTCTTTACGGCTCGTTGGAAATTCATTTTTTAGTGAAACTAAAGAAGTTCTAGCGGTGCGATTTAAAGAATTCCCTAAACTGTCGTTACAGCACTAGAAAAAAATACTACGGAATAAAAAAAGCGATTTGTCTTCACTAACTTGAGCAAAAATCAATTATCTAACATGATTGGTCTTTGGCGCATTAATTATCAAAAAAGTGACCGCATTTTCTTAAAAATTAAAGCAATTGTAGAGCTAAAAAACACAGCACTGGGAAAAGACAAAATAAAGGCAAAACTCCTGAAAATCTTAACCCAAGAAACCCACAAACTCATCCTTACTGAAATCAACAACTGCATTACAAATAATAATATTCCGAAAACGTGGAAAAGTGGTGTAATAATTCCTATACCTAAAAATGGACGAGACGGTACACAAATAGAAAACTACAGACCTATTACACATTACTCCCGGTGCTGTGCAAAGTCTTGGAACACATACTAAAACAGAGACTCGAAGAACTGATCAGAAAACATATACCAACATACCAATTTGGCTTCAAACAATATCACTCGACTATTCATCCGCTATTTATTTTGACCAACAACATACAAACAACTCAC